TCCCCTCCTTCTTTTTTGTGTTTGTTACTCTCTTGTAAAACCTCTAATCTTCGGCACTTATATGACCTTATTGTGTTGCAAGTGCCGTAAAACTCTTACTAAAACTAACACCCCTATTCTTCAGCACTTATATGACCTTATTGTGTTGCTAGTGCCGTAAAACTCTTACTAAAACTTCAATGCCACTGTCAATCTGCTGGTGTTATTTGATTTCTTTTCCTTCCAAGATATTCTCAACTTCTACTCTGTGGGTGGTTGGTGGGTGCTCTGGTGAGCTTTGCTTTTTTTTTCCTATCAAACATCTATCTTCCTTATCTCCCCTTCTTCTTTTTTTATGTTTGTTACTCTCTTGTAACACCTCTATTCTTCTGGCGCTCATATATGACCTTATGCAGTTGCAAGTGCCGTAAAACTCTTACTAAAACTTCAATGCCTCTGTCAATCTGCTGGTGTTACCGTATTTGATTTCTTTTCCTTCCAAGAAATTCTCAACTTCAACTCTTACCGAATCTATTTATAGCGAGCCTGTGGAGCGTGGTCACCCTGGGCATGGGCAACAAGGGGAAGAAGGTGGATTCGGAGCTGTCAGAGACCCTCCTGGCCAATCAGAGCCTTCTGTTCATCCTGGTGCTGGCCAATCACTGCACGTGTGACCGCTCTGTGACCAACCCTTACCGGCAGGCTCTCTTCTCCTTCACCGACACACAGGGTGAGTGGGGTTTTTTCTGTTAAAAAAATAATTTTTGTTTCTGTCTTGTTTTTACTGTTTTTTTTGTTTGTTTTATATTTCTTTATTTTGTGTTTTTGTTTTTTGACTCCTCAGTGTTGTTTTCTCCAAAATGACGTATAGCGAAATCTTACACTAAACGATTGATTTTTTTCTTTTTTTTTTTTTTTTTTCTTTTCTTCTTTCCCGCTGTTTTGTTTTTCTTGTTTTTTTTCGCTTTTCTTCTTTTTCAAATGTTTATTTCTTTTTCTGGTTTTTTTTTTTCAATTGCTGAGTGTAAGAGTGGGTGGTTGGCGGGTGCTCTGGTGTGGTTTGCTTCTTCTTTCCTATCAAACATCTATCGTCCTTATCTCCCCCTCCATCTTTTTTATGTTTGTTACTCTCTTGTAACACCTCTAATCTTCTGGCGCTCATATGACCTCATGCAGTTGCGATCGCCGTAAAAACCTCTACTAAAACTAAACTCAGTGTAAGACTCTCTTTTCGTGTCTCTTTTCAAAATGTTATATATTTTCCTTTTTTTTTCTTCCTGTTGTTTTGGTTTTGTTTTTCTTTTTGACAATTACTTGTTTTTGCCCTACAACATGTGGGAGAACAACCACTCTCCCCACAGAGACTATGGGTTTGGATTTTTTTAAAAATATTTTTTTTTTACATATATTTTTTTGTGTCCGGTCCAGGGACTATGTGGTTGGCGGGTGCTCTGGTGCGTTTTGCTCCTTCTTTCCTATCAAACATCTGTCATCATCCTTATTTTTAAAAATCTCTCCTCCGCCTTTCTAGTGCATGTTACTCTCTTGTAGTGGGTGGTTGGCGGGTGCTCTGGTGTGGTTTGCTCCTTCTTTCCTATCAAACATCTATCATCATCCTTATCCCTCCTCCGCATTTTTTAGTGCATGTTACTCTCTTGTAACACTTCTATTCTTCGGCACTCATATGACTTTATTGTGTTGCGAGTGCTGTAAAACTCTTTACGAAACTGTAAATTTGGCAGTTATGTGAAGTAATTGTGTTGCAAGTTTCCTTAAATGCTTACTTAAACTAAAAGCTATCTCAATTTTAATTAAAAAGATATCAAGCAGTGTGATGTAGTTGTTCCTTTGGTAAGTTCTGTGGTCTTGAAGAAATGTGTGACGGTCTGCTTTGCCTTTTCCCTGCACAAGATAACCATATTATTAGTGACTAAAGCTCTTTCCTTCCTCATGCTGTCTAGGAGACTTTGGTAAGTTCTGTGGGCTTTAAATGTGTGGATGGCATAGTTCGACACTTCTACAGGCTTTAAATGTGTGGATGGTATGGATTCGACACTTCTACAGGCGTTAAATGTGTGGATGGTAAAGGTCCGACACTTCAACAGGCTTTAAATGTATGGATGGTAAAGGTTCGACACTTCTGTGGGCTTTAATTGTGTGGATGGTAAAGGTTTGACACTTCTGTGGGCTTTAAATGTGTGGATGGTAAAGGTTTGACACTTCTGTGGGCTTTAAATGTGTGGATGGTAAAGGTTTGACACTTCTGTGGGCTTTAAATGTGTG